AAAAAGAAAGATATGAAACTTTATATAATACATGTATTACTAATCATAGTAATTATGATCAAATTAAAAAAGAATTAGAAAAAATTACTAAAAAACGTGATGATTATAAAAAAGATTTAAGAAAAAGTGAAGAAGAAAAAAGAAAAATTAATCTTGAAATTCAAAAAAATGTTCTTACAATTATTATTTAGTAAAAAAATTTTCTCCATATTTAATAAGACAAATAATCACATAATTTGAAAAATTAGCAGATTCTGGTGACCAAAAAATATATAATATGATTATTGAAAATGTAAATGAATTGCATTTATTTTATTTTTTTGTTTTAATTTTTATTTTTATTTTTTTTTATTTTATTTTTATTTTGTTTTATTTTTTTAATTTTATTTTTTTTTAAAATAAAAAATATATAAATACCCATTTTCTTTTTTTTTTAAAAAATAAATATCAAATTTTCTTTTATATATTACCTATTTAAATTTTAATATTTGCTGCTTTTTAATAATAATCACGCTCTGTATACTTCTTTATAAATCTAACGAATTAATCGAAATACTCTTGATCTTAAAACAAATTTTAATGCTTATAACAACAAATATCAAACTTATAATCTTGGAACTTGTTTGTTTATTAGATAATTAAAACTGGCAGCAAAAAAAAATCAACAACAAAAAAAACTAAACCAAAAACAAAAAGTAAAACAATGACAAAAAAATCATCCAAACAATCTAAAAAGACAACACAAAAAAGAAAGTACAAGTTAAATTTGGTTCTTGTTGTAGTAAAAATATATTATAGATGAGTAAAAAAAGAAAACTTAATAGTGAAAAACTTACTAGTGCTGGTGATGAAAATGCTTTCAATGCATGTGGAGAGAAAAGACCTGAAGGGTCAAAAGTTAATAGAATAAACTTTGGACCAACTTTACATAATGATAGATTATTTTATAATGATACGGTATATAAACGTATAAATCTATGGAGATTATTTCAAGAAAAAGAAAATAAACCTAGATTTAGTAAATTGGTTTTATCAGATATTTCAATTCATTTGGTTTTCACATCAGTTCATACTAGACAAATTGAAAATTTAGTTGGAATTGCACCATGGCTGTACTACCAACAAATGTAGATGGAGAACATTTGACCAATGAAGAATTACTTGTTAATCATTATAAAATTCCTGTTGCTGGAGAAAAAACTTTATTAACACTTTTACTTTAAAAGATGTGATTACATTTCTATTTAGTCAGAATTTGTGACAAAGATTTAGCAAAAAAACACAAAATGATATAACTCCTGAAGAAATTCTTGTTGATATGAACAAACTAGATAAACTAGAATTAAAAGATTATTTTCAAATTTTAGCAGAATATTATGGAAAATTGATTGTAAAGAAACAGGATGTCTATTAAAAGATACAAATTTTTACATGTGTTATCAATTTGGCAAAGATGAACAAAAAGTGTACATGCTTCTAGCAGATGAAGATACAGACAGTATAATTTTTGATGCAGCAAATTTTGCACTAATCATGATAGTTGATTATATGCCTGGATTTATAAAATGAGAAGGCTTCATAATAAATTACCAAATAATGATCCTAGATATCTTAATCTGCTTAATAGTACTTTTTGAGTACACAATTTTTATTAGAAACTGGACAAACGGGTTTACCAGTTTATATTAGTAATAGGCAAATTGAAATCACATATAGATATGATGCTAATATTGAGAATACATATAAAATAGCAAATATAATCGCACAACAACTAATACAAGCTCAAGGTCAAGATGGAGGAGGAGCACTAATGGAGGAAAATCAAAATGATAACCTTTAATTTTTTAAAATAATATAAATATCAAATGTTTTCTTTTTTTTTTTAATTTATTTTTTATCAAAATGTCTTGTACATGCAAATTTAATAATAATAAAAAATTTGAATATTGTTGTTATTATTATCCTGATTCAATAAGTAATAATAATAATAAACAAAATAATGATAAAATAAATATTGCTTATATTATGTCCATTGAACAAGCATTAGTACAATATTATTCATCAATTCAACAAAACTAACAACAAGAAGAAGCAGAAGCAGAAAAACCAGAAGAAGAACAAAAAGATGATCGACCTTTTGTAAATAAAAATTTTTG